CACACACACACACACACACACACACACACACATTCATCTGCCTTTCCAAAGAGAACGCCTATGACGTGACAAGCCCTTTGTGTAAAAATGTCATTTTGGTAGCCCGAAGAGATCAATGTTCATTTTTATCATTTAATATTACCATCTTTTTACAAACAGGATAACAATTTTAGTTTGATTTCGAAGGGCAACGCCGGAGAGGAAGACGTTAATTGTTTCTCAGTCTGTTATGAATAATCAAATCTAGATCTAGGCGGAAAACCCCCAACAAAAAACAAATTTCGAGTCCAGACAAATACGAATTAAGGCTAGAGGGAAAGACATTCATTTTTGCGATCAACTCGTTACGAATTAAGACCAGAATACCAGACATTTTTGTAATCATCTCGTTATGAAGTAAGGCCAAAAGGAAAGGCATTAATTAATTTTTGTGATCAGCTCGTTTTGAATTAAGGCCAAGATAAAAGACATTATATAGTGATCAGTTACTGTCCTGATTTAAGGCCAGAATGAAAGATTTTTTTGGTGATCAGCCCCTGAATTAAGGCCAAGATAAAAGACATTTTTTGTGACCAGCTTGTTACGTCATAAGCACTCTGGGTTCAAAAGGTCAATGAATACGGTAGGCACAGTGCGAGCCAACAGTGCAGTTCACAAGACAACAGTCACAATAACAACAACCACAATAATGACAGTGGGATGACGACGACGACAACAACAACAACAACAACAACAACAACAACAGCAACAACATTAACAACAATAACGACGACAACAATGACGACAACGACAACGATAAAACAGGAAGAAGCAACGTCAGCGCAAATAACATGAGCGACCGTTCCCTAGGTGTGTTTATCATCACCCCAAAGTGAAGTGGTAGTAATTTTTTGGTGCATTAAAAAAAAATTACCCAACCCTAAAAAAATGTGATTGCAATTTCAAAAGAAACAATCCTTCGAAAAAAAAACAAATAGAAGCCCTCATCGCGTATTTCTGGTCCTTGTTTTTGAGTGAGTGACATACCTTGCTGTCAGGAACCACCTTTTGCCAGATTGGCCAGCAGAAATTGGAAGATAAATACAACATTCAGAACATGCGAAATCGGAAAAAGGCTGGTGAGAAAAATATACATTTGTTGTAGCAGATGTGATTTAACGTCGAACACAGTTTTAAAATAAAGTAAGAAAAAAGATAGAAGGAAGACTAACAGAGAAACAGATATGATTTGTCTCAAGATTTGTGTCTTGATGAGTATCAATCTACTAGATAGCCTAGTAAATGATCAGGAATGATAATCTCTCCCTGTTTGTTTGCACACAATAGATCAATGAATAAAGATATATGTCAAAAGAGTATCGAAAATATTGTTGTTTAGAAAAAAAGAAAGAAAAGGCCGTTATCTATTACCTATATGTTTTAGTATGAAGCAAGAAATAATCGAGTATGTTCTTTTTGAACTTTAGGCCAAAAAAAAGCAATTGATAACATGATGCTCTTTTTCTCAATACATAAATAATTCTCAGGAGAACTTTTGTCTGAGGAATCGAAAAACAGAGCCTACAATATCAAAGTAGAACTAACACATCTCTTTTAAAATAGTTGTAATTGTATTCACTTCCTAAAAATGTTAAAGGAAATAATAATGGTCTATACACTATAAACAAAATAATGATGTTCTTTTTCCAAGTCTAACTGGATCTTTTTAAACACGTTCTCAGAATAGATACATATGCCAAATTAATACGATTTAAAGAAATAAAAAGTCGGAATAAGATGATAATACATGTATACAAAACGAAAATCAAATGAACTTGTTGACATCACAGATAAGGCATTGAGTTAAATAATTAATGAGAACACCCACAAAATGTAAACAACACAAGCGAGCCCACGAGACAAAGTTAGAGAAAAACGACGCGGCAGTGAGTCCAGCGGAAACATCATAAGTGCACACACTTGCAAGAATTGGGAGGAAAATGTGACGTATGTAGTATTATGAAGAATACTAGACAACACAGTGAGTAGTCGGTATTATCATGTGTACAATATTTATCACATTTTTTTTTCTTGCATGAAGACGGAAAAGATGACGTGTGTGTTAACTGCTGGAACAGGCATTCCCACAAAGGGGGTAAAATTAGTAAGTTATTTATAAATGGTACATAGATCCCCGGGCCCATTTATAAATGGTTCATAGATCCCCATTTATAAATGGCACATAGATCCCCATTTATAAATGGTACATAGATTCCCATTTATAAATGGTACATAGATCCCCATTTATAAATGGCACATATATCTTGATCCCCA